GGGCGGCGGCGTGGGCGTGAAGCGGCGGAGGCGGTGGAAGCCGGAGGGGGTGGAAGGCGATAGGAAGTGGGGTCGGGGAGGGCATTGCTAGCCCCAGGGTGGCGGCGGAAGTGCGAGGCGGCAGCTTCTTTTCCTCTTGGAGACTGCGGGATCTGCAGGAGAGTTTGGGAAAAGTAACACTCTCAAGGAGGAAACAACAAAAGACAAGACACTAAATACGCTCTAAAAATATGTATTGTACTTCGTTTCAGAGACATGTGCAGCTCGAGTAAAAAGATGCAGAATTATAATTTAACGTGTCGTAATTATGAGTTGTTGACGCATTTCTTATTGGCATACAAATAGAAACATGCTTATTTATATAACGCGCTAGAGACTAAATATTATTAATTATATTCATAAATGTCATTAAAGTATGGATACAATTCTCCATTAATGTTGCTTTGAAAGGCCTCTAAGTTATGATACATATATTTGCTGATACTCGTGATAAGGATACTTCGTTTGGATACTTCCTTGCGCTTTCCGTGGTAAGTGCAGTGCGAACCCTTAAAAAGAAATTTAGAGACCCGAATTCTTTCTTTTATATTGTCTTTTCAGGAGTCAGTGCATCAATGTTGGGTATAGAAAAATCAATCACCCAAAGTCAAGTAATGTTTACAGTTACGGTTATCGTTATAAAGCAGTTCATTTTTGAGTTTATTCCGCAGTCGGATCCAATACACAATAACAGTTAAATAATGTTCCATAATACAGAATTGATGGCAATTTATACCTACTCTTCAAATAAATTACTTGTAAAGCATATAGAAAATTATTTCATCAACAAAAATATAATTTCCATCTAAACCAAGTTTCCTCACTCGTAAATCTGAAGTAAATATGCTACATATTTTGCGTAAGTATCGTTACTCAATTGGTTTCCAGAATGTAAATCTGCTGTGAAAAATTATCTCTAAATTATAACTGGTCTTGTAGAAAATACAAAAGTAACTTAAGTCAATAATTATTCGACGTGTACAACATAAATCGGAATTTTGGTTCCTTGTTAACGCAATGTACTAGGTAACTCTATTAGAACTTTACATTTTTTTAAACACTGAACAAAAATATGGCTGGCGTATTGACGGCACGCAGATAGTCAGACAGGCTGTTAGTTAGAACGTAAACATTGTGGTGGATGTAGGAAACTCCCACTGTTCTGTACTTTTCAAATACAGTTTTCCCGGTGATGGAAATATATATTTCTACACGCTATTCAATTTTTTATTTCTAAAATACAATGCAGAGCTAATTCTCAAGTTTTTTTTAACGAGAACATCTGCAGGTAGCATTTTATTAAATTTTAAAATTATGTACACCTGACACAAAATCTATCTATTTCCATTTCTAGGAATCACCGTTGTAAAAGTCAAATATTATTTAAAGTTACAAGCTCCCTGATAAGAAATATTCCATAGTAACGACTCGATACTGCTTCCTAAAAATAACCCTCAGCTTCTGCCATCTAAAACTGTAATTAATAAACAACACACTTTCGGAAAAAATATATGAGCTCTAGGGACGACGAATCAATTTTTTATGCATATTCTAATGTTTTAGGGTCCCTCCTTTTCTATTTTGGTGAGATATCGTCAGGAAAGGGACGTACCATAACGTAAGGCACAATCGAATTTAAGACGCAGGTTGCGGCTGATTCATCTGACTTTAAAAGCACTCGTTTGTTAAACATGTATAGGTAAAATATTCCCCGTTAGATACTAGAGGCACGTAGTAGTAGAAATAGAATACGTAAAACTTGGCTAATACAATGTAACTCAACATACAAATTCTCAGACAAACAAAAACTTCATTGAGAACCCTGTGGCTTTAGTAGGGCACGCCCCTTTCTCATTGCCCCATTTCGCTAGATAGTTGGCAATCCAGTGTTTGGCCACGATTAAAATTCACTCGTAACGACACATCACGCGCGTGAAGTGGTGTTTAGCCAAAAGCGCCCCACGGCCGAAAACCTTCCGCTTTGCTTCGCGTTTGCAGTTTGGCAACAAGCGGCGCGGAACGGGGTGGGTCGGAGCGAAGGGGGGCGGAGCGCGGTGGGGCGGAACGGGGAAGGCGGAGTGGGGGGCG